TGCCCCCAACAACAATCCGGGTCCTCATTTCACCCACCTCGGAAGGATGGAAGGCTGAGTCAACCTTGAGCCGGTGGGATTTGAACCGCTGAACTGCAGATAACAGTCAGCTGAAGTAGCCTGCAGTGCTGCATTTAACCACTGCGCCACCTTGGCTCTTCAGAACTGTTCTGCCTCAGCACATTTTCCCCCCTGTGTCACAAGAAGCTGCTTCCTTGATTTGGTGACTGTTTTTCCTTCATTTTTCTCCACAACAGCAAACATTTATTTAAAGCTTACTTTAAAGATAACGCAAATTGGAAATTATGGTGTGTACGCTTATGTGCGTGTGTGTCTGTGTGCAGGTGTACACACACATACTCATCAACAAATACACACAAAGCCAGCTTTTATTTTGGGTCAGGTTGGATTTTTAACTGAATTCTTTGGCCAAACATTGATTTTTTTTCAAACGTATACAAGGGACGGTATGTGTACAAGCGTGGATTCTGTTGAATATCCAGTTAAAACAATAACGCCATTCATGGTTTCCCTCTTTTTAACAGCCATGTTTTTAAAGAGGTGGGCAGTAAATATAACACATGGCGTCCTTGTGGGTCAGGGAACCCACAAGGCGTTTGCTCTGATTAGACGGCTGATGGGGCTTTTTCGGAGGGTGAGGACCCGGATTGTTGTTGGGGGCAATAATGCTGACTCTGTAAACCGCTTTAGAGAGGGCTGAAAGCCCTATGAAGCGGTATATAAGTCTAACTGCTGTTGCTATTGCTATTGATGGAGGGTGGGTGGGAGGGTGTGGGCCTCCTGTTGTCAGTGCCCCCCAAGGGCAGTTCCTGCAGCTGAGGAACGGCTGTGGGCCAGAAGAGGGGGGACGGCTAAAGGGGGGGGGGTGCCTTGCACTTGGGCTTCTCAGACGGGGTCCCTGCTGGGCCAGGAGAGCCAGAAAGAGCCGCCTCCTTCCTCACAGAGCTGCAGCGGAAGAGCTGGGCCGGCCCTTCTGGCTGGCTGTGGTTTCCTCCAGGGAAGCCTTCGCAAAGTTACAGGAAGCCACTTCAAGGCCTCCCGCCAGCTTCTCCCCCGTAAGCAGAGGAGCCCCGGATGGTCGCTCTGTGCGGTGGACAGGTTGGGGAAAGTCGCCGCTCCCACCAGCCCAGAGAGGGGCCCTGGTAGTGGCCACGCTGCTCTCCAGAAGGCATCGACCGCTGCATGGGGGGGTGGGTAGCAGCGTGGGCATGGGCGTGCCTGCTGAGCTGCCAGTGCTGCTCCTGCCAGGAGCTTAGAGCAGAGAGGAAGTGTGACCGGGGCAGCTGATGTATGCGCCTCCTGCATTTCCTGCAAGGGTCCCTGAAGAGCCGCAGGATCAGCAGGCTCAGTGGTTCCCCTCGAGGCCTCCGCTGAGACACCCGGGGGCTCTTGGGATGGTTTCCTGTAAGCCTGAAGCTGGAAGTCGGTTGGCAGATAACCTCCGGGGTTGGCTTTTCCTCAGATTGCACGGCGCTGCCCGCAAATGCTTCGGCGGAGAAAGCCCGCCATGTCCTCGCCGTTGAGATCGCCCCCACGGAGCTGGTGGGGGAGCAAGCCGCCTGCCTGCCCGCTCCGGGACACCCGGGCCCCATCAACTTCTCCTTCAGGCAGCTGGGCACCGAGATCAGGTGAGTCCTGGCGGGGGCAGCTAGAGAAGGCACTTTTCTCCTCCGAGGGGCCATTGGACTTAAGGCTGGGCACTGAGGCGAGTGAGCGAGCAGGCTTTGGAAGTGGCTTCCAGCGGCTAAATCCCCCAGCCTGTTCTGAACTCGCACCCCTAGAGAAGTCATATGAAGCGCAAGGACGGTTCTGTGATGCGGTTGCACTCAAAGCGTCTCACTGGACGGCAGAATCCGCCATCCAGAAGGAATCCACGAAACCAGAGGTTGCAAATGGGGCAGCAAAATGACCTTTTCTGTGTGCGAGTGTCTGTGTGTGTGTGTGTGTGTGTGTGTGTGTGTGTGTGTAAATAGACATGGAATGGACGCCGGGGTCTGTGGCAGGCGAACTGCTCCCATTTGAGAGCCACCGAAAGCCTCTGAAATGGCAACCCCCCCAATCCAGCCACTTCGCCAGAGGCTCCCTTGTTGCACCCCCCAATTCCTCTCCCCAGCCAGACCCCTTTGGCTCTCTCCCCCTGGTCTGGGGCAAGCGGGGGGCCTCCCTGCCCCACAGAGGCTGCCCACCCTCGTGCCAGGTGCTGGAGCGCACAGCCAGTGTCCCTGCTGCCCGGCATTTGGCTGGGAGGTGGCCTGGGAGGAGGTGAGGAAGGATCGGGCCCTGGTGGAGCTTTTGGCACAACCGTTGGCAAACGCTTGTGAGTCAGACTCCGCTTCCCGTGTGAGACCCACTTCCCCCTTGTTCCTCAGAAGTCCCGGCCCTTCACCCGCGTCTGCCTGAGCTGCTGCCTGGACAAGCAGCCCAGCTGTTTGTGGCCACTGTAGCCTCAGGAGCCCGGCAGACGGACGGCAGCTGCCAAGGGAGAAGCGTTTGCCTTTTGTACTTCCCCTGTTGGGCATCTGCCTGCCACAAGCTTCCCTCTTTTGCCGATCCTCCTCACAGCCTGCCCGCCAGTGCACCCTCCTGTGGGGTAAACAGAGGCCGGATTTTGCAAGCGCGCATTCCTCGTGGTCTGGGGCAGCCGCCTTGAACCCGCTTCCTCCTTGGAGGGGGGGGGGGACGGGGGTGCCTGGAGAACAGAGAGCTCCGGAAAGGCCGCCTTGGTTTTCAAAAGTCTTGCGTGGCTTTCTTGAGAAAGGGGGGGGGGGGGAGAGTCTCAGGGCGACCGAAGCAGAACCGCATTGGAGCCAGGCAGGGAGAGAGTCCTGGGCTGCTCAGAGGCAGCAACTGTCCCTTTAAAAGCCCCTCCTTCATCAGGGTCCCTGCCCTGGCTTCTTGTCTCCCCCAGCCTCACTGTTGGGAAGGGGCTCAAGCTTGACCACAGGCAGCCATCGGAGGGTCAGGCTTGCACCATTTCCTGCCTGCTGTTTACGTCGAAGCTCAGAGAGGCGGGAGGGGTCCGGAGCTCCTGGCATTCGGCTCTTGGGAAGCAGAGAGCAAGCGCCTCCCCCAGGCAGTTCCAGAGAGCAAAGGGGGGGGGTGATGGAGGGAAATGGAGCCCTCCTGTCCTGGGCGCTTTTGAGGCCCATGGAGGGAGAGGGCACCAATGCTCTCCAGGGGGGCTCTCTGCTTCTGATTGGGGGGAGGGGGCTTCCTGCTTTGAGGCCCTCGGAGAAGTCGCTGGGCTCTTGGCGTCTGCAGCTTTGTGAGTCCAGCCAACCTTTCTCTGCCCTCCCAGCCATTTCGGACGTCTGTCCTTTGCAGGAATTCTGTGTCTTCCTTAAGAACCGGGAAAGGAAGTGGGGAAAACCGCAGGAGTGTTTTTTACACCGAAGAATGGGAAATGCTGGACCCCTCCCCAAAAGACCTGCAGGAGTCGGCGGCTCAGGAGGAAAAGCGAAGGCTGGCAGCCGAGACCAGCAAAGGTGCCCGTTCTCCCCCCTGCCCCCCATTTTCATTGCTTTTGCAGAATCATTCTGGCTTTGCAGACTTTTTTGGGGGGGGGCACTTTGCCTCCCTTTGTGAGCAGAGACCCAACCCAAGGATCCCAGGTTGGCTTCTGAGCACCGCAAGAATCTTTGTTCCCCCAGAGCTGGGAGCTGGAAGCTGGAAGGGCCAAAGTGGGGAGCGAGGGGCTTGGGAAGCTGGGGGTCAGGGCTCCCAGCAGCAACCTGGGACTTCGATGCCTGGCTTCCCATCCCGGCTTCTCTCACAGCTGCTGCTCCTAAGATTGTTTGACCGTTTGGAAAGGAGAAGGAGGAGGCGGCTCCTCCTTGGATGGGTGGATGGCTCAGGGCTCTCTGGATTTGGCCCCTGTTGCTGAACTGGCCAACCTTCTTGCCCCCCCCCCTGCCCCCCCACCCCATGCTGCAGGTGGGACCGGCTCAGCATTCCCCTTTGATTTTGGCCGCCTCCCGCACAAGGCCAGGCGTCCCTCGAAGGACCCCATGGCTTCCTCCAGCAGAGGCCGGGGCGGCCTGGAGGCCTCTCCTCTGGAGTGGAATGGAGGCCGGCCGGCCACAGAGGCGCAGCCGAAGCTGCAGAGCCAGCAGGAGAACCTGGAGCAGCTGAAGACGGAGCTGGCCAGCCAGAAGGTAGGCCGGTGTGAAGCGGGGGGGGGGGGGGGCTTTGGCCGCCTGCTATGGTGGGGAAGGACCTGAGGGCATCTGGATGGGAGGCTCATCCTCTTGCCCTGCCTCCCTCTCGCTTCCTCCCTCATTTGCACCCAGGGGTAGGAAAGCCCTTCCTGTGGGGCGGCACAGGGCCCTCCTCCCCTGCATCCAGCCCTCCTGGCTGAGGCCCTGCCTGCTTCCACACGCCCTCCCTGCGCTCGGTGCAGAGTGCAAGAAGCGATTGGCTTCTCCCGCATCGGTCACAGAACCTGAGCTGAGAGGGAGGAAGAGAGGGCGAGCCCAGGAACCTCCGGGACTAGTTGCCACAGTCAGGACTAGAACCTTGTTCCCCCCACTCCTAGTCTGGCACCTCAAGCACAAGGCCACCGGGCTCCCCCTTTAAAGGAGAAGCAGCAGCCGTCCAATGCTTTGGGGGAAACGCCTGGCAGGGGATCCCCCTTGGGCCCTCTGTCCAGTGGGAGGCCTCTTCTGCCCTGGGATTGAAGCAGGAGGGGCTCCTCTGCCAGGAAGGGGGGGGCAGGCCTCTGGGTCCTGGGCGAGGGGCTCAGACCGGCAACAGCAGCAGGTCCCTGGCACAGGGCAACGCCACCCCCCTCCGCACCCCCGTTTCCGAAACGGCTGCTGGTTTCCCACCAGCCTCCTCGCTTCGTCCCAGGAACTGGTGCGGCTCCTGCAGCAGACGGTCCGGTCCTCCCAGTACGACCGGTACCTGGCGGGGCCCCTCTGCGACGGGAGCCCCAAGGGCCACTTGGAGCTGCTTCACCAGAAGGACCACCAGATTCTGGGTCTCAGCCATCAGCTGGAGAAGCTGAGCCTGGAGAAGGAGGACTTGCAGCAGGAGGCGGCCGGCCTGAAGTCCACGGTGGGGGAGCTGGGCGAGAAGCTGGACATGCTGATGGAGACCATCCAGGCCAAGGACGAGGTCATCATGAAGCTCTCCAGGGAGCTGAGCGAGTGCGAATCTTCCTGGCAAAGCGGATCGGCCGAGGCCTCCCCGCCCGTCAGCAAGGAGCAGCAGGAGCTCGACAGGCTGAAGGTAAGGGCTCGCCTGCTGGGGCCTGTGGGGCTGGAGGAAGGGAAGAGGGCAGGGACAGGGGATGATGGGGGGCTGGTTGAAGCGGCTGCAGGGCAGAGCAGAAGGAAGGCCTGGAGCCAGAGGGACAGGAATAGTTGGGGCTCTTGCGTTGTGCCGTTGTGCCGTTTTATTAAGCACAATTGCTTAGACCCAAGTGGCTGCGTTCCCACTTGACCCCCAGCCCTTCACTGGGTTTCCTGGCT